CTCTCACATACAGACACTTCACAGCACTTTTCTAAGAAAAATATACACTTACAAAATATGTTACAAATTGGCACACTTAAAAATATACAAGATTTTGTAGGCGTCTTAAGAGTGATCCTTAAGCTTTATACTTCAATTGACTCTACAGATTATTTATAAAGCTTAACTCTAAAAGAAAAAAGGCAAATAATTTCCTAACATTTTAAAGTTGCAGTGTCATATGTCAAACAGAAACTTAGGTTACATTCATAAAAAGGGCCTCTAATGCTTTTTTTTTTTAAATCTTCTTAAATGCTCAAGGGACTCGGGGAAGAAGAAAGAATTGGGGGTAATCGTTTTCTTTAGCACCATAAATCAGTAACTTACTAAAGAGGTGCATTCAGTTCTACGGAAACTAAGGACTAGTACATTCAAAACTCTGTAGGCAGCGAACTCCAGTCAGTGCTACAGGTATCCCAGTAGAGCATCCTAAGATTGCTACACTCCTCACTGGGAGTAAAAAACAAAAGGCCTCTTCTAGTTTTCATTCTAAGCCTTTTCTTTTGTGCTGTAAACAACCAGGCATCTCTCAAAGAGGCAGAATGATTCAAATGTCTCCTTTCTTCTTTTTGAATGGGATGTCATTCTGAGACTCAGAAATCTCAGCCCGTTAGAAGGACAGACATCCTTTCCATCTCATGTGGATGAATGTTTCCTCAGTGTCTTTACTATCTATTACCCAGACACTGATATTAAAAGCCTCATTCACACCTTAAACTTTGTACTAAGCCTCTCTTTTACACTGTCTTTCTCCAATGTTTTACCTCTTATGATTCTGAAACCAAGAGTACATCTCAAGTATGTAGCTGCAATGAGAGTTCTGCTTTATGACTGTAGCTACTGTTTAATGCCGAGTAAAAATGTGCCTTAAAGGGTAGCCTGAGTACTGTCATCAAAATAATCCCATGCTGGTTGAGGACCCTCAGGATGATGACAATGTTTCCCTAGTTAAACAGCCCAACTAAATTTTTTTCTCCCTTATTTGGGTCTTTGAGAAACCTTTACAAAATCCCTGGCCTACATTGTGTTGACAAGATTCCTATTTGTTACTAAAATGTTTGATTTTGGTACCAAGCCTTCTACACACAACTACAGGCTTAGTGAATTTTATGATTAGAAAACAAACCAACCTCACATTAATTTTATTTTATAAAAAGGACATATTTCTGTAGTAATGGACAATCATTTAAAAAAATCCCTAAATGAAAATGAAAACTTCTTGAATTAGATAATTTCTCAATAATACAGGAGAAAACAAACATTTCTAGTTCTAGCAATAGTTAGGACTAGCTAGTGATCCATTCTCTTCTTCAGCACAGAAACTTAGCTCTCTTCAATTCTTGGAACTGTTCTGAGAGCATGTGTAAACTGAAAATGTGGTGGATCGGCATCAGACCGGTTCAGCTTGGTAAGAGCGAGCTGGCTAAAAGGTCCTTGGATATGGTTTTTATCCTTTCGGCAGTAAATTCTGATTCAAAGCCACTAACATGAAAATTCACTAGAACTGCAGGACCTCACGTAACAGGACTTAGGATGCTAGCTAGAGTTGTTTACAGCTTTTGAAGCACCCTTTATGTGTCTCTCTCACATACACACACACACTTACCCCCCTCCCTTGCGCCCCTCACACACACACAGATGCTTCCCAGCAAGGAAAAATGTCAGAGAAGGTGAAGGTTGTCACAAAAGCCCACCTAGCACCAAGGACTTCAGGGAGATGGCTGAAGAAGTGATGGTCAAAGTAGTGCAGGAGGTTTCAAAACATTTAGGAAAAGGTAAGGCCTTAACTCATAGTTGAGTAACAAGAAGTCTGAAGGGAAAGCTGGGAGGAAGCAGCAATATGGGAGGAAGCTGGAGAGGCAGAGAGGATGGGCCACTGGTTCAAGCCAGTTATCACAGCTCAAACATGACTCCCAAAGTCTTAAAGATCTTTGGTCAGGGCCACTATTTCAGCACCCTGCTCCGCATAGTACAGCACCTAACCAGGGCAGGAGATCAGACCTATTCTCACAGATTTTCAAAAGAAAAAGAAGAGTTTCCAACTTTCCTCAGCCAGGAGATACAGTTTTTCCACGTGTGTGCGCGTGTGTGAGTGTGTGCTTAAAATTAGATTTGAAAAAGGCCAAGGCAATTAAAGGTAATTAAGAAAGGGAAAGTTCCCTTATGAACTTCTAGAAGAAAGCAACCTGGCTAAGGTTCTTAAACCCTGACAATTTGGGGAGGTAGGATATAAGACCCTAAAAGAAGAAAAATTCTAAGACTAAGGTTTGAGATTAAGTAAGAAGAATAAAGGAGGATATCGTTTCCAGGAAAGAAAAGATTAAATGGGACTGTGGCGGGGAGGCATTAATCGGAAGCAGTTTCTCAGAGAGGAAAGGTTCGAAGAGAAGAGTGGTAATCAGTAATTTCAGACCAAGGAAAACACAATATTTCTGACTTAAGATATCAGTGATAGGGCAAAACACTATTTTTATACATTGGTCCTCACTCCACTAAGGCAGCTGGTTGAATAAGGGATCTCCAGTAAGTCCAGCCTACTATGTTGTGACAGGAAGAAAAGGAATTGTGAGAGCAGAGACAGGATCAACAGAATGCTAAATGCTAAACAACCCAGAACGTGATGTACTGAGAGGGATATTAAAAGCAATTAAGAGAATAAGCATCTTCTGCCTTGGCCTACTGCTCATTTCTCAAACTCAGTTTCTTGTTATGTTTCAGTTCAAAATGACTGGTTACGAGTCACTAATTTATATGTTAAAAACATATAATGCACCGCAGGCCAATAAAAAAGGTCCTTTAAAACAGTAATTCTCTTTGGAGAAAGGGAAGAACTATGCCCTAGAATTGTCACTTAATGGGCTCTATAGGAGCAACTGAAAAGAGCATTCGCTCCAAAGGACTCACGATAGCAAGTTCTGACAAGGAAATGGTTTCCAACAGTCTCAGGCTGTCCTTCTTCCCCACTCCCATCCCATTCTCCAAAGCTGAACTGATACTGAAAAAAAAAAAAAAAACAACGACAAAAAAAACAGGGACAACTGCTCCCGTATTTATTTTTATAAAAACATGTTGTACTCATGGAACATTTTCTTTATTTCTTCTTTAATTGCCACGTTTTGATTACACAGAAAGCACTCCATTCCTGTAAGCCAGCAGGTGACTTTGAGGTTTGGAGTCTTGGGGATCACAACACAGGCAAAGTTAGTGATTCCAAGCCAAAATTCAGCTGCAAAACAGAACAAACAAAAACAAAACGAAACAAAGACCAGTTCCTAGGAACCAGCCATAGCATCGATAGCATTTAGCACAAACAGCTAGCTGTCAGAGTAGAGAAATAGAAGAAAGTGTTCCAGTTTGATTACTTTCCCTTTTGGATGGCAGCTGTAGGGAAGGAGACATGTTTCATTTGGTGCCTTTCCACTGAGTAATTTTCCAGGGCTCGCTACGCACAGAGCATCAAAGCCTAGGAATGGGCCTAAACCAGCCTCACAAAATGCTCCATACGCTCATCTCCACAGACAGAAGAGACTGATGCTGGGAACACACACAATCAAGAACACAGGCTTGTTCATTACACTACCTAGCTGTAAGTAGCAGAGCAGGCTGGTGAAAGGAATCATGGACTGAGAAGTGTGTATACTCATATACGTGATAGGCTTCCTTCCATTTCTCTCTGACTACTTTCAAATGTTGCTTCTCTGTTTGTGAATATATTTAGGTGGCAATGACTAGGTAGGTTCATAGTTTGCTTAAATTTTTCCTTTTGAAACATCTTCTCTTTTTTGTTAAGTCCCCTTTTTCCCCTACCCACTTATTTTCCACCCTCCCGCCCCAGCCTATATATTCACAAGTTAATAGGTTAGTAACAGTATTAGTAAGAATAGTAACAACAACGACAACCAACAACATTAATAATATTAATCCCCTATATCTGTATAGCACTTTACGATCTACAAAGCGCTTTCACATCCATTATCTCATCTGTGCCATAACGCATCAGTCGTCAGACACACAGGCCTTCAACTGTGCAAGGAAAAGAGATCAAATGTTAGAAGTCAAGTGGTGAATAAAGGGGAAGAAAAGGCTAGTAGTGAGGGATGCTGGAGCTGTGAAATTTTGAAAATGGGGGGAGGACTGAATAAAAATGTGATTTTAAAAATTTATATTAAAAATTGAGACTTAAGTTTAGTGTTTGGCATCAAATACTAGTCATCCTCAGACTGAGTATATATGGCCCAAATTAGTTGTTTCCACAAATTGTTCAGCTTATCTGATATTATATGTGCTTAACTCATGGAAAGAAAAATTTGATTGAACTGAGATGCCTTAACATTTTCTTTCAATGACATTGGCATTGCAAGATTAAACATTTAAAGAACACTAAAGCCATGATATGAGTGCACTTTTGACAAAACTGGAATAAAACATTTAGGAAACTACTTAAATAAAAGCAATCTATGTACTTCATTTATCATTAGTATTGATTTTATAGCTATTTTATAATTTATCCCAGACTATTATAAAATATATAAAACTGAGATATAAAGTATCAGCAATATAACTTTGCACTTTAAATAATTTTCAGCTACAGATTTTGCTTTTAGAAAACAAACTTTTGAAGCAGCTGTTTTGTTTCCTTGTAAAAGGTTCTATAAATGCATATACTCGGGTCCCTGATGGACTTAGCTGTTGTGACTTTCAGACTTTTCCAACATTTTAACCCTTAGACAATGGAACAAACAAATCTTAATTGTGCCTTGTTTAACTGTTCATGTTTCCACACAGGACAGTAGAGTTCAAAACTTTAAAAGAATGTATGTATGTATGTATGTATGTATGTGTGTGTGTGTGTGTGTATACATACACACACACACAAATATATGTATACATTTAAAATTCACTAATGAGCTTTAAACTGTGGGGTGAATCTGTGAGATGAGGTAAGGAAATTTGGCACATTTCAAACAGTATCCTTTAAGTTTTGGTAAATTGTGTAACACAACATTTTTTCCACTGTGATCTACAGGTGCTATCCACATAAGTGGGGGTGGTTAATAGCAAGAATCACTGGAATGTTTCTAGTAAATTAACAGGGACAAGCTCCCCAAATACTCACAACCAAATGTTGATATAGAAGTAAAAATATATACAGTACAGTCACTTGTTTGTAGTTTGGCACAATGTTTTCCATTTTTTTCCTTGTGGGTAAATAGTGCATAAACTACTTGTGCAACTGTATGACTTTTTAAGTCTTTTACATAGAACATCAGATTAAAGTTTGCTTCCAAAGACTTATTCCCACAATTTAAAATTCTTTTCTTTAAGCACTTACATGTCAACATACATACCACAAGGCATATTTTGAAAGAAATAAAACACAAACATCAAATGTCTTTCTGGAAAATGTGAGTCTCTTCTTCAAACACAGGTAAAACCCAAAATGCTGTTTCTGCTTTTAGGAGATTGTAGTCGGAATCCCTGCAGAAAAATCAAACAATTTATGCCATCTTAGTTAGTTTTAGTGTAAGTCCCACAAAGGGATCATACAATCTCAATTTGTTAACATCATACTAGATGCCGTATGATGCAGAGAAAAATACAAATAGTAGGGGGCACTAGAAAGTACTCCTAATTGCCACATGTTGAGATTTCGTCTTCCAACTATGCTCTTTTTGTTTAAATGATCTTGGCTTTTTGTCTAATGACTTTTTAATTCTGTTGTTCAGAATCTGTCTTACTGCAAAGCCCTTCCCTTCCCAAAATCATTCAAGAGCAAATTTTAGTTTTATTTTCTTAATAAGTAAAAACTAATGTTGAATAGCAGAAGAAAAAGTAGCCTTGTTAGAACTTATCCCTAGTCAAGCCACAACAAAGTTGCCCAATCTTTTGGGTGGCATAAAGATATAGAGATTTTCATGCACTTTTTTCTTTTCTTTTTAATTTGAAATAGAAGGGAATGGGACAGTTTCTTTCATGCAAACTTTTGCTTTCCAGAGGGAAAAAATGAGGGACTGCGGGCTTGGCAGGTAGTAGGAAAGCTAAGGGTGCATCATCTCAGCCATTTTGGTGCAGTATTACCTCAGTTTTTCAAAAGAAGCTGTCCCAGCCTGATCCTTGTGGACCTGTTCTCGCTCCATGTGCTTTCCCTTACACTTCTCATCTCTCAGGGCCTTGGAGCTGGATTTGTGACGATACAACTTTTTGTGTGTCGGTCCGTTATTGCCTAAAGTGCTCATGTTACTATACTTTTTATCAAAGAAGGCAGAGCGAGAGTCCTCGTTATAACCAGGCATGTTTGTACGACCAGGATCACCTATTGCTGCTTTCCCATTGCTTTTGCTCACACCCTTGATTGACCTGTGATTCTTAGTGGCTCCTGGAGACCCACTGTTGACCTTTTTCTTAGATTCCTGCGGTGTCCCAGCCAATATTTTGAGGGTTTTTAATTTTAGACTATTGGACTCAGGGGAGTAGAATATGTTGGGGTCCCCATGGTGCTCCACGGGTTCCCAAAGGGGCTCTATGGAGGCCATCATGAATCTCTGTACATCTGCCATACCAGAGGCAATGTTGGACAAGATATAGGAAGGCTCCTGAAATTCCCGTTGGTCATCATCCAGGAGGCTGTTGGAGTTGGTGCCCACGCTCATGTCACTCCAGCCTGGGCTGCTTTCCTTCCCCAAAGCCCAATCTCCAGAAAGTCCCTTCTGACTTGGCATCTTCACAGAGGCCATGGGACCACCGTGTTGGATACATTCAGCCAATGTCTTCCCAGTGGAGGATATGTTGTTAGTTTGGCCTCCCCCACGGCCAATGCCAATTTGCATTTTCTCTCCATTGATGGCAGCCATGTATTTCCCTTTCTTTGCTGACTTAGGGACCTGGCGGGAGGGTTTGCCAGGTGGCTTTTCAATCCCTTTGTTATTGGCTTTGAGGGATTTTTTCCTGGTGTTTTTCTGAGAAGAGCTTTGGTTCACAGCCCCACTCTTGCTGGGTGAACTTTTCTTTCTTGATTTTGACACTTTGTTGTTGGTACTAATTTGACCAGACGGATCATTAAATGTTGACAGGCAAGGGTTTTTTTGGAGCAGGCTGACAGAATCCTCATCATTGAACATATGGAACTGAAACTGATGGTTATTTAAAGTAAACCCATCATCCACTTGGACCTGCCGTGAAAGGGTACTGCAGTCCCACTTGATTTTCTCCATGCTGCCCAGTGATCCTGGGACACCCTCTTGGAACCCCTTCAGTGTTCCTAGTGTCTTGATACTCTCGCATCTGGTAATTTGAGGGGAAAGACTGGGGGTGTCAGGTGGGGACATCTCTGAAAGGGAAGAGTGGCGGAATTTGTCAGGAGTAAAGTTAGAGATATCCAGGAGGTCAGTGGACTCCTTTAATGGTGCTATCTCGTCAATGCTCTGCTGGATCACCAGCTTGGGGCTGCAATGGGCCAGGAAGTCATCAGTGATATCATCATCACCATCTTTTTCACAGGGCTTCAAGCTTAAGGAGCAATAATTGCTTGAGCTGACAGAGAGTGGGGCCACTGACTCAAAGCTAAAGAGCCGACCATCATCCATATTGACTGGGCCTTGCTGAAAAGGAAAGCAGATCTCTCCATTACTAAAGTGACATAATTGGTAAGAGTTATCAGATGGGAGTTGGGTATCTTGCACAGAAGCATATAGGACCTTGTTGCAACTACTGCCACCACTGTTGAGGCAGATTGGACTGTATGTTGAAACTGTGAGGTTATTTTCCATGGGGACTACTTGGGAGGCTCCATATTCATTGGATTGGGTTGGAGCTATCTCCCTTGAGACTTCAACCATGAATTCCTGGGGGCCAGAAGTAGCCTTGTTGGGCCACGGATTTCCATAGTTGTTGTTTGATTCCATTTTGAAGGTATGAGATGACTGCTGCAGCTCAGCGTCAGAGGATGAGGAGAGCACACAGTCCTGGGCAGGCTGGAGAGGTACAAATGATTTTTCAGTTGGAGTGAGGCTGCCTTCATTTTGCTCTGGAGAATTGTGGGTGAAGTATGAGATACTAGTATTATTTGACAAATCAGAAGCATCTAACAATGTCTGCAGATACCCTCCAGGGATAACAGGTATATTAGTGGCAACACTAGCAGATGATAGAGGCATTTCAGAAGAGCAGGTGGTTGGTAGAAAAGTGGAATTCTTAGAAGCCTTTGCCTCATGAAATTCAGATAGATGGGAACTGTTTGAGGTCCCAGGAATAACTTCATTCTTTAAATTAGCCTTGGAGGATTGGTCTCCCAAGAGAGGGTTCACTTGAACCATTGGCTTGCTTTCTTGCCCAGCAGCTTTAATTTTCTTGGATTTTAACCTGGCTTCACTTTTAAATTTGATTTTATTGAGCACTTTCCTCTCTGGCCCCTTAAACTCTGTGTCTTGGGCTTTGACTTTCACTGAGTCAGGACCTGTGAGATCATTTAAATGTGATCCATTTGCACAGCTGGGGGCAGCAAGAGGTACTGACTTTAGTGTACCTTTTAGGCCTCCATCTTCTTTACGATTACTAGCTTGCCTCTGATCATTGCAGTATGAAACCTGCTTACTACTTGCTGAAGTTTCCATGGACGGGATTCTTTGAATCCTGTGCCTGTTGCCAAGTTTAGATTTCCGTTTGCGAGCAGGTGGCAGGAATGACACCTCAAAGCTACCTGGTTCAAAGCTTTGCTTTTGGCATAAGGATGTCTTGATGGAGTCTGTGTTGCTGTTTCTCTGCTTCTTTCTCTTCTGCCAGAAGCCCTTCAAGGGTGCCAGCTTGGCATATTTGTTCAGCTGATTCTCACTCAAATTCACTGTTGTCTCACTGGCATCCACCTTACCCAACTTCACCAGCATGTTCTTCTCACCTTTAAAGCGATTGATGATAATATATTTGATAATAACAGGGGGCTCCTTACGGGTTACTTTTCTTCTCTTTTTGGGACACCATTCATCATCATCTTCCTCTTTGGAGCCACCTGGCAGCCATTCTTTCCTCTCATTTACTTTTTCACCCTCTAGTGAGTCAACATCATATAGATAATCTTCACTGTATCTGACTTTTCTCTTGGCTCGCAGCCCATAGTTCTGCTGGGAGGAGGAGCTGCCAGAATTAGTGTCCCGAGCCATATAGCGGCTACAGTCCTTGATCTCACCCACAGCATCATATGAGACCTCAATGAAGGAACTGTCATCACTGAAATTCCCTGATGTCTCCAAGGAATTAGCAAGATGGCCTTGTTTTGGATTCTTAAATTGCCCTACCTCAGTCCCACTGCTTGGTTTATTTAAGGCAGATTTTTCTCCATTATCTTTTCCATCTTTTTTCTCTACACCTTTGTCTTCCTGTCCTTCCTCTTTGCCTTTCTTCTTGTCCAAGATTTTATCTTCCTCCCCCCAGATGATGCTCATGTCAGGGACCTTGAATTGGGAAAGATCACTGCTCTGTTTCAGGGCTCCACTCTTAGACTCCCGCTTGGGGCAGGTAGTAAAGACACTGGGAAAAAAGTTGAATTGGGCATCCTCCTGCATCAGAAGGGTAGTCTTGTCACGAACATTGTCCTGAAAGGACTCATATCGAATTTTCAGGGAGCAGACATCACTGCCCAGTGTCGACTCATCATCATCGAACATGTAGTTATCCACATCTTCTTCAGAGAATAGGTTGACAGACAGCTCATTCTTGGAACAGAGGTCAAGCAGTTCAATCTTACTCTCACTAATGAAAGTCTCAAAGTAACCCCAATCCTGACTGGAATTTGCAAGCAAAGCTTCTTCTGTATTGCACTTATCTAACAGTAATGCCTCATAATAACTTTTCTGAGCTGGATCCTCCAAGTCGATGTCAGGTTTCTCAGCTTCTCGTCTATCTCCTACTCTTGATTTATGCAGGGGGAAGCCTAGGAGCTGGTCTGAGAGCAGCTGCTCTCCGTATTTCATGTTTTCTCCAGCATTGATGCACTGAATCCCTATATCAGAGACTGCACATGTTTCATAATCCCTGTTTAGATCACCAACTTTCAGACTGATCCCTGGCTCAGGATCTACTGCATCCTTGGATTCCATGAAGCAGCCCAAGCAAGTCCGGCTTGGCTGCATGAGGCAGTCCCCATTCAGAGCTGACATGCCTGCAGGCTCCATTATGGCAAATGGAGCTTTCTCACACTCATTGGGCAGTGACCATGTATTCAGGCCTTTTGTAACACCAGACGTGAGGGAGATGGCATTCACAGAAGCACTGTTAGCAGCATGTTCAGGCGCTTCGATCAGGCCCAAAGGAGAGGAAGGGCTCTGCATACAGGGCTTCTTAGAGGGTAGAGGCAGGAGACCCCTGGGATACATCAGGGTCTCTTTTTGTGCCACTGGTATAGGCTGGATTGGTGCAGCAGCTTCTAGAGCTGCAAATGACTTCATTGCCATATCCTGGTCCTCTGAGTCTAGAGAGGAAAGAAATGACAGGAATAAAGTTAAGGGTCTTAGACCAGACTCATGAACTCTCTTTCCCCTTGATCAGTTTCTGGTACTTGACCTTATTATAAGCTAAACCTCCACTTCTCTAGCTTTAGAAATCAAAACTGTAACACTGAAAAACAACCTTGATTTTATATTGAACATTCATGCAAGTGAAAAATAATAATTCTTTAGGCCCAGCTTCTTCTTCAGAGAAAGGCAGAGCCTTCCATAGAAATGACGGAAGAACTGGACTGCTTGATCAATTGGAAAGTCAAGGCTTTCGGGGGAAAATGCTCAGTTGGGACATTTATAGTTTTGAGCTATATGGCTCAGGACCATCCTGCAGACCCATGTTCTGGAAGCTCCTAGTGATTCTAGAAGTTCCGAGCCTCATATCAGAGCGTATTTCTAAATCACCAGGAATTTTGAGGAACTTCACCTGACAGAGATGATTTGGGAGGGCAGAAGGGTTAGATTCAATGCCTCTTAGAGATGCTTCTAGCGCAGTTAGAGATTTGGTGGAACAAAGTTTAGAATTAACATCAATCTCAGAGGCATCCTGGACTGAACCTGTCCCAACTTTGTGGATATTGAAAATCCGTAGTAATAACAAAGGACTACTGGGAGAGATATTATATATTATAATTAAATTCCCTTACCATTTTCTTTGACCCCATTAATCAGAGTGTTTTCTCCGTTGGCTGAGGCAACAATAGCCTTATCTTGTTGGTTATCCATGAATGTAACCTCTTATTGTTTCATTCCAAGTCCAAATGCTGTCCAACCTGCACATTTCAAATATATAATGTCAGTCATTAAATTTGTTTTATTCTGTGTTTTACAGGTTATTTAGGCTAGAGGGGTCTTAAAAGGCTCGCTAGAATTTAACTGTTTCCAGACTGGCTTCATTACTGCTTGTGTTTTTGTTTCACAGTTTATACCTCCCATATAAGTCAATTTGGAAACTCACACTTCATTCATACATCCTAGATCCTTCTATCCCCTCTAGGCCACCATATGATTCAAAACTGAAATCTGAGGAAGCAGGCAAACTTACCCCTTCTTCCAGATAGTACCAAAGTTAACCTAATCATGGATGCCCAATTAGAAAGGCGCAAAGCAGAGTTCAGACTAAACTGAGATAAGGGGTGTGTGCATATGGAGATTAGCTTTATATTTATTTGCTTCATGTATACTTCACATGATCAGAAGTTCTTCAAAAACAAGCCAATTCATACATATACCCACATATACATCACACTCAGGTTTTCTCTCGCTGTGCCTTAAAAGTTGACTGCTAAGGTTGAAGGAGATAGAGAATTCCCCTCGGCTTCTCAATGTTCAGAAACTTAACTTGGATTTTAACAAGAATCCTTCCAAGCCCTCAGCAAGATTTTAAAATGTGTCTACAAAGATCTAGAATTTCTGAAAAGGATCCAGCATCATCTGGTATTTTTAGGGCTTAGTTTCTGTAGCTCCTCACTTCCTGTCCACCTACCTACCTGAGTGGTAGGTATATACAAAATTATAGGAGACAATACAACATCTATAAATCCCTATTTATTCCAGCTCCCTGTCCCCTAGACCTCCTCCCCAGCTAAGTGTCTATCCATTTATTAAAAAGCACATGCCACTGATAGCCAAGCAGCTATTATAAGAATCTCAATTGTATATTCATTTATCCTAATACATGCACATAACTACAAAAGGTGGGTCCAGCATTGAGGGAACAAGAAGCAGTAAGAGTTTCACATGATTCAATCTATAAGACATTTTATCTATCTGGGCCTATTTCTTTATCTATAAAATAAGAAGTCTGTATTATGTAAGCTCCCAGTTTTGAAAATGTTAGATGACTCTGGGTTTCCCCTAACAATTACATATGAGAATTGCCAAATTTTCTTCTCATTTTATATGACACCTGACTTTATGAGTAGCCAATAAACCATGGATGCCAGGGAAAAGAGAAAAAGATGTATTTACACAGAAAGAAGGGCTAGAGAGTTTTAAAAGGTGGAAAGGAGTGGGTAGCCATGTTGAAGTCCCCACCTTTTGGCAAGGAGGGCTCATTTGTAATGGAATCAAATGAACAGATCAGATAGCCGCCTCTGCTTCAAAGAGGACCCTATGGGTCAGATGGAATCAAATTGCCATCATGGATTGCTCTGTGCATCTTTCTTTTTTAAGGAATTCAGCAAAACTTCAGGTATCATTTACCCCTCTTTTACCCTTCCACTAATTCCATCTTGGCAAGGACTTGATAGGAGCAAATTATTTGTAGCTTTCAACAATTTAATGTCTTCTTGTCCTTTACATTTATAGTTAACTACAAGTAAGTCCATTTTTATCACCAGGAAGATCAAGGCACAGAAAGACAGGCTGTGATAGCTGAGGTCTAAAACAACATAACGATAGATCCATGAAAGGAACCCAAGTCTCCTGACCAAGAGAACAGATGTTTTTTTTTCTTAAAACGCATAATGCCTTCCCCATAATTCTTACCACTTTCAACCCCTGGCCAAAACAGGGCTACAGAAATACAAGTTTCCACATGTTACTGATCTATACTTCTACCCCCTTTCAGGTAATGAGACAAAAAACAGCTGCCTCAGACAAGTATTGACTGTTAGTAAAAATTAATGTACCATGAAATATACATAGGAACAGTATACTTAACTATCAACAATTATCCAACTTGTCAGACAGGACACAAACACTATATCATGGGACATATTAGGACTGCTGTAACTTTACTCTAGGATGTTGTTTCCCTAAGGACATAAATTTCCTCTAATGGAAAAATCTGACCCAGTGCCCAGGATTTATGGCTTTCAAGTAAAGGGAATCTTACCGGGTTGAGAATAGAACAGACATACAATTTGGCAAGAGATAAAGAAGAAGTGCAGTAGATGTGGGAGCTTGATGAGTTGGGAGGTGGAAAGGAGGGAATGAATGCTCACTAGGTGTTAGGCTAGATACAGTTACAGAAGTTACTTCATTTTGGATATATAATTGTAAGGTTGGTTATATTAGGTTCCCATTTTTTTTTCAAAAGGGAAAACTGAGTATATAGATATGAGCTTAATGATTATCAATAATTTGGGCCTTTGTTCTCCAGAATTAGAAGGCTAGACCCCGAGCAGACAATCCTTTAGTCCTTTCCTATGACTTTTCAAATCTTAGCTCTAAACAAGACAGCTAAAGGTACATATTTTCCTACATTTTTATTTACTTATACCTTGGCTACTTATAAAAATGATTTTGGAGAAGGATTATAACTTCTCATAGTTACAATACAAAGAGCTTTGGACTTGCTTTAGCTCTTTCCCACTGATTGGCATTTTGGGACAGTAAATTAGGTGGGTTTTTAAAAATCTATTTTGAGCTAAAATTGATTAACACTTTTGGAAGAATGTACAACAAATTGCTTTGCTGATCATAGTAATTCACACAGCGTAATGGCATTAAAATAACAATAGCATGAAGACAGGTATTTTGAAGCAAGGAAATGCTCAATTAAACTAGAAAAGCAATCCCTCCTACTTGCCCTTCCCCTCACTCGGGCCTGAAGAAAACTCATAGATTCTGTCCCAGTGAGCTGCTATGCTCTTCCCCAGAGGCCGTGAAGCCTTAGATCTTAGAGTCTAGATGACTCACATCAGCATTTGTGTTGGGGGTTGTCCCTGGCTTTTCCCAACTGGGAAGAAAAAGCAAGGCAAGAAAATAAATCATGTGTTTGCTTATGGGCCTGGGACAACATAGCCTTTGGGGTTTGAGTAGTGCCTATCTCTGGGATGCCAGTTTAAATCAATCGAACAAATTTACTAGGTACTACCTGTGGTCATGGTATTGTATCAGGCACTGAAGTAGAAAACGCAGATGAATGAGACTAGATCCCTGTTCCCAAAGCGCTCAGAGTCTAGTGGGGAAAACAAGCCATACACAAATCATAATATAAGTATAATATACTGAAAGAGAGGCAGACAGTTTTTTATAGGAGTCCCAAATGGAGAGAAATTATTCCATTTCTAGAGAGGAGATCAAGAAAGCCTTCACTAGAAGCAGCAACATTTAAGAAGGAGCTTGAATGAAGGATGACCTTTCTGGAGGTGGGAATGGGGAAGTACCGTGCAGAGAAAGGTATTCCAGGCTGAAGGGCCTTCATGAAGTGCTGTGAGTCTCCTCAACTCTCCTGCCTATCCCTATGAACAACTGCTGTAGAATCATGGGCCTGACAACTTACCTTAAACATTTCTGTTTTGCCTTGCATACAACACCCTTCTCAGTCCTCAACCTCTCAGGTCGTATCCTCTTTTCATTCTGTTTACTTCCCCATATCCTCCCAAATATTCTATCCCTTTATGCTCCTTTAATATGCAATACCATTTTTTTTTTTTTTTGCTTCTAGGCATCTTGCACTTAATATTCTCTGCCCGGAATCCCTCTCCTCTTCCCCTGTTCCTTCCCTTCCTCCCTTTCCCAGCCTCCCTTTCACCTCTTTGTCCTCTTCCCTCCTCAATTTTTCTTGATGCGTTCCTTGACTCTCCCCACTCCACACAAAATTAGTTTCTGTCCTCTGTGTTCTCAAAGAATTTTGATCTCCTCTGTGTTTATGACTTTATACAAACATTACTTCTTTATATCTGATACCCCTAAAAGACTAAGTGCCTCCCCAACTCCACTGGGTCTGGCTCACATAGTGCTTATAATATGGTATGTACTCTGTAAAAATTGGTCAAACAATGATGTTGAATGGTAGGAAAAGATAGGGGGAGAATTCAGGGAACAGTAAGCGTTTGGCTGAAATAGGTAGACAGAAGAAAGTATGCCTGACAAGATAAACTGAAGCTATATTGTGGAGACCAATCAAACTGTAATTGAGGAAGACACTGAAAGGTTTTGAGCAGTGGAGAACATTAGGACCAGTGAGAGTGGGATAGACAGAGATAGGGAGATAGGTTAGGAGACAAAACTCAGGTGTGAGATGTCAAGAAGAATAGAATTAGAGAAGAGGAGACAGAAATGGAAAGGAGACGTTGGACTCAGGTCCAACTGCAGAGGTGTGCTGCATAGACTTGGAAAATGATTTAGATATGATAACAGGTATGGGAGCAGTAGTTGGCATATAGAGAGAAGAAAGAGGTCAAGGAATTGATAGATAGCTGTGAAAGGAGCATCATGGGTGGTTGGATTCCAGGACAGAGTAGCCTCAGAAATATTGGTGCCAGGAAATTCTTGGGAATAAAGCAAGGTGGATGAGTAAGAAGCCTAACCGTAAGGTCCAACGTGGCTAATAAAGCTAACCAGGGCCTTAGCTGTCACACTGGAAAAGAAGCAACTGACCAGCAAGCTGTTACAGATGGGGAATCTACAGGTTTGGTTAGGGACTGTGATGAAACAAGGAGATGGTGCTGCTGTAGCAAACAGGTCCACAGAAGATTTTCCAGGCTAGCCCAGGTAGCTCTGTCTAGTCTGATTCTTCCCAGTCCAGTTCCAGAAAGTATAATGGATGACAGAATCAGCAACAGTACAGAAAGCATATTCTTATTCATAATTCTGCTTGGCTAATTCCATTTTCTGATATCTACCAGGATTTCAAGACCGTAGATTAGAAATATGCAGGTATGATGCTTTTAAGTACAAAAAACATGTAAATGAGCAACCGCACAAGTTTTAAAAATATCAAGTGTGCAAAAGACATCAAAAAGAGATGATAACAGTTACACTCCAAAGAATTCTATGTATCTCAAAGGTACAGTACGAATCCATTTCATCTCTCCCATGA